AATAAATTCGTTACAGGAGAGAAAAAAATCTAGGCTCAGCCAACTTAGACTTCAGTATAGCTGTAACAATGTTTGCTAGGTACCATAAACAGGGCGGATTTAGGATTTTCTCGGGGAAGGAGGTTGGATTTTCATAAATTTTTCAAAAATTTTGTCGAAGTTTTGATAGGTCGACCAAATTGATTTTTCGAACGCTCCCAGAACACTTTAAGAACCCTATGTTGACTAATATTTTGCTCAGCAGGCAATAAAAAGAGGTCAAAAATGCCGTATTTGGGCGTTTTTTGAGAAAATTTTACCAAAAAAATGCGTTTTTAAGCGCGCACTCCCCTTCAAAACTAGTATATAAAAGGCGCCGAAGCCAATTATAAAGCCAAAAATGGATGTCATAAAAATACCAAAAGGAGAATCTTTGTTTGATAAGGGGTTCGAATCTCTGACGAGGGGGGGGGGGGGGGGCATTTGTCTATAATTTTACATGGTTTTCTCATGAAAAAAGCAAAGATACAACATTTTTTGACCTTCTAGAGTTCACGAAGTGGTCAGTTATCTAAGATAGGGCAAAAGAAGGGATCACTTAACAAAAACTAATCCAGGCTGCCTGATGACACCCACATGCCTCCCAACTAGCATTGTCGTTACTTAATCAAACTCAATTTGATAAATATCAGAGGTAAGTTATGATTGAATAAAAAAAATCGAGCCAAAATAACATTCACTCAATTCTTTAATTTCTTGCATTTATATGAAATTAATCTAATTTTGTTAGAAAAATTTTCATTTAATTTTTTATCATTTATGGTGGGGGATGTTATCAAAAAGACCCATTTTATACAACATCTTAAATCAAAAATATCAACTTCAATTAATTTCAACTCAACTGAATTGTCTAAAAATGGTTTTGTTGACACCTAGTGAGTAAAGTTTATTAATCAATGTTCTTGTCAGACGCTTTTTTCTTCCAGAACTCATAATGATCGTTTAAAAAATAGTAAAGTTGCTTTTGTTTTTTTTTCAAACAGTTTCTTGTTTTTAGCTAACGTTTTTGGTCCCAAAACAGGAATTTGATTGGCTATATTTGTCGCTTGTTTTTATGATGTCATGCAAAAATGTGTCTGTAAACAATTTTATTAATAACAAAACAATGAGGGTTTTCATCCTATAAAAGTGCTTTTTGAATTGAATGGCCCGATTTTATGCTTCAAACCTCCTAAACTGAAAAACCTATTGTAGACTAATATCAGCTTGTCAAAATCGCAAAATTATTTCAAGTATTTCAAGTATTAACTACCCTTTCGATTAGATGAAACTATTAAAGAAAACATGAAGAATGTTAGCAGGTTTTTTTTGTGTAATTTAAGTATTATGTCAACAATTTATTTGTTTCAATTTCCTTGCTGATCATACTTAATGCAAAAATAATAAATAATAACTGAAAAAAAAATCACTTCAGTTCCTGTTTGAAGATAGTCTAGAGTAATTTAAAATGCTTTAGTCAATTTTGAATTGTTGTGAATAAAAAAATCGATTGCTCTTCTTCTGAGGAGGTTTAGTAGGAAAGACCTTCTATTATCTTATGATTTCTTAGTCATTTAAGTTTTTCCCACGAGATAAAATTGTTGAAGCAGATTGGAATTTCATTTAACCAGCGAGGGGATCGTGTAGTTTGATTTTTATACTGCAAAACAAAACTGTTATAAAATTGGTCTAAATAGATATTTGTCTCAAATTGTCAAAGCGGGTAGACTTAACCTTTTTTTTGAGTCGCCTAAGCTCACTATTTTATTCTTTCAAATAAACAAAATAACTTCACAGAAAATTTTTTAATAATATTACTAACAACGCGTCATTGAAAAAAAAATTGCAACAATTTTTCAATTTTCAATTTCAAAACTCCTTTAAATTTCACAAAATTGTTAACAAGTGAACTATCTCTTTACATTTGAGCTCAAGGCATTTGTGGTGAAATCGAATATTGGAACGTTCAAACTTTTGATCGACTATGAACCTTTGAAGGCTCTCGCAAACGTTCGATTCTATTTGACCTGCGTGTTATTGAATTGTTTACACTAAGTATCCTGAACTCACTACTTTGGCATACTTTGGAAAGTTTTTGGCATACCATTCTCGAGTCTGATGGTGTTTGTAGCAGCGCTGGAAAAATTGTCATCAAGAAAAGGCCAACACTTACTGGAGATTGTGTAAACATGCAAAAAAAACAGCATGGAAATAGGAAACTTTTCAACTAAAAATTAATTTTCATTTTTTTTCTCAAGAATTCGGAAAAACCCAATGAAATCTAGAATGTTCGAACGTTCGATGAATGTTCAAACAATCCTGAATAACATTCGAAGGCAACTTTCAAACGAATGTTGCGCCACTATAAGTCATCACTACTTTCCTGACTTTGCTGCCACTAAGGACTTTCGTCATTTAGCAAATGGGTAGAAATCGGATTTTCTCTGTAGAGGGAAAAAGTGGATTTTCAAAAAAATTTGTGATTTTTGCAGCCTTTTTGTTCCGACTTTCGATACGAAAGTAACGGAAAATTTGTGCTCGGGGTGGGTTTTTTTTCACTTCTGACAAATTTCGACTTTTTAACTAGCCATTTTTGACGGAATTTTTTTATCATTCAAAAGGTATTGTTGTCCTGAGCTCAAATTTCAAATCTGATATTTCACCTGTGATCATTTTTTGTAAAGTTACGGGGGTTTAAGGATTGCCATTTTGGCCAATTTGGGACAATTAACGCGCGATATATTTCGCGCTATTAACGCGTAAGCGGAGAGTTAATCCGTCCTAGAAATCGTTCCAAATTGGTTGAAAGAAGCTTATTTACCATAAATGATTTGTTCCAAGGAGCTATATCTATCATTTTGTACTTTATATGGCGTGTGGGGGATGATTTTTATAAAAAGTCTCAAATTTTAGAAAAAAAATTTTCATTCATTACAGGATGCACAGATAGTTGCTCAAGTTGCACAGATAGTCTATGATGAGTTTGGCTTAATAAATTCCCTTCAGCAATTACAAAATCTTTTCAATAAATTTGCAAAGAAACTTGCACGCCACCTTTTTAATATAAATTTTAGCAAAACAGGAACAAAGTTTGAAAACAGCTGAAAAATAAGCATTAAAACGTCCGTTTTGGTTGATTATATGAAATTTTAAAAATTATTTAAATTAATTTTAGGTTTTGACTATTATTTGACTCACGCGTTGATAGCACGAAAATTATCGTTTGTTGCTTATTCTAAGCTGGCCTTTCTGGCAACTTGCAAACCCTTTGCAATTAAGCACAACCGATCATTAATTTTAGTTTCAGTTCAAGTCATCAATATATTTTAGACAATGCAACAATCTGCTCAAAAAGGCTATTTAAAACGTCAAAAATGGTCTGAAAAAAAACACCGTAAGCACAACTATTACATCACAATTTTCGGAAGTCGAAACACATAGTTTTATAATTTAAAAAGGAAAAATTATTAAGAGTTTAAATTGAGTTTTTTTGAAGTTTTTCTATTTTTATGAGGAAATTCAGTTCCTTCTCAAGAAAATGTGTTGCGAAATGTTATTTTTCTGTTTGTTAGCATGAAATGCGGTGTTTGTGTGGCATGGCAAGTTAGGCAAAGACTCTCTAAAACAAATCCATTTTTAATACTTTGCGTGAAAATCCGTTGTGAACGGATCTATCAAAATAACTTGCCCTGCAAAATTGTGTACAAAAACGGACATATTGTTCCGACTTTCGAAACGAAAGTAAGGGAATATTTGTGCTCGGGGTGGGTTTTTTTTCTCCTGACAAATTTCGACTTTTCAACCAGCCATTTTTGACAGAATTTTTAAAAATCATTCAAAAGTTATTGTTGTCTTGAGCTTAAATTTGAAAAAATATTTCATCTGTGATAATTTTTGGTAAAATTATGGGGGTTTAAACATTGCGATTTTGGCCAATTTGGGACAATTAACGCGCGATATATTTCGCGCTATTAACGCGTAAGCGGAGAGTTAATCCGTCCTAGAAATCGTTCCAAATTGGTTGAAAGAAGCTTATTTGCCATAATTGATTTGTTCCAAGGAGCTATATCCATCATTTTTTGTACTTTATATGGCGTGTGGGGGATGATTTTCATAAAAAGTCTCAAATTTTAGAAAAAAAAATTTCATTTTTTTTTTTCATTTAATTTTTCAATGTTAATACTGCTCCACCTTAAAAGGCAGTCGGAACATTCAGGGCTTCACACTGATACGAGCAGTCTTGTTTTATTTATTTAGTCGACCTTTAAGCTCCTGCCAATCAGATTAAAGCTCCTATTTTGACCAACTTTTCTGCACCGAAAAATTGCCAAAAAATTAGCATATATTAAGCATGAAATATTAGAATATATTAGCTCGCCCCCTCAAAATTAGCATATAATAGCGCCAACGGCGCCTTCAGAAAAAAAATTTAAGGTCGTTCTGCTAAAATTATATGTCTTAAAATAGTATCAAAGGGGACAATTTGGGTCGGCAGAGTGTCGAGTCCTTGAAATTGGGGGGAGGGGCGTCCACAAGTCAAACCCACCAACCCCTTAACACGCCCTGGTAAAATAGCTATTTTAGCTTCAGCTTGGCAACAATTAAAGTTTCGTCGAATGCCACAAAGTGTTTATTTTCCCATAAGCATCTGAGGTCATGTCATGGTCACAGATGTTTAATTAACACACCTATCGGGGCCATGTTATTGCTCGTGACTCGATTCACTGACCGACCATTCTTAGTTAAAACCACAGTTTATATTGGTGTTTTTAGTTTATGTACTATTATATTAAGTTAATAACAAACTATTTATTTGTAAATTCAGTAAATATATCTTAAAGGCGTAGCTCTGTTTGCGCGCGACATTTAGTCGGAGTTCAACTTTTTAACAATTTGTTCAGCTGTGTCATAACTCCGAACTAAGTCGTTGTGTAAAATGATGGCCGGCCATTAAAAGCAAAAACGCCATTCGGTTATTAGAGGCATGTTTTAAGTTAAACTAATAACTTTTATAAACGTGTCATACCAAAAAGTAGATACAGACGAAATTGTAAACAAGTTTTTGCATCTCAATGATCGGTTTATACAATAATGTCCTGTTTTTTGAGCAACGAAGGATATGCTTTAGAGGATTAATTAGTTTTAATGACTGTTTTCGATTTAATTTCACACACGGTAGTTCTGAGTTCAGTTTTTGTATATGAAGCTTCTGAGTTCAGATTCTTAAGTCGGGCAAAGATAAATATGATAGACTGGTCCGGTTAAAAACGAAAAACGATAATTTACTCGTCCTTTTATCCAGGCAGAGATACATCATTTTCTTTTCACTTTCACGGATTAATATAAACCTAACTTTATTTTTACAGGTCCAAGGATTTTTTCCGAGCTGTTTGAATCCTCCTGACCAAATAGCACTTTTCATTTCAAGTAGTTTTGAGTTGGTCTATTTTTTTTATTTTCCAAGTTTTTTGTGTTTTCTAATTTGGCCTATTTTTCAAATCTATAATTTAGGGACCATTTGTCTATCATACTTCTAATTTAGTCGACTGATCACAGCTCTTCAGATGTTGGACTCGTCCTGTTTGTTGATGCTTTGCGACTCGCCGATGTCGTCGAAGTGCACATCTGTGAAGAAGTCGGAGTCGTTGTAGTACTGTTGTTTGGTGAGAGAACTGGTCGGCAACACTCGGATGATCAGCCCACTCAGAAGTCCCCCCGTTATTGCCAGGGCGAACGTGATCAGCAGGGCCCCCGTCTGTCGCAACGCCTGAAGCCACAACATCACTTTTTCTCAAATTTACAAACTGAAAGGCTTTAGATCTAAGATTTTTCTAATAAATTAATCATCAGAAAAACCTTTAGAAGCTTTTGCATCGATTTTAGATAAGGTGGCTTATTATGAACGAAAATGTTTGGAAGGAAAATCAGAAACTTTGCTTAAATCTTTTTTTTATATTTTTTTATGAATCAAAAGTATTTTCAACTTGGATAAAACTATTTGATGCAATCTTGGATGAAACAAGAGCAGAAAAAAATGATGATAAAATGAAACAAGAGTTTTATTGGGTCCATCTTTGTGTCAAGACTTTTATCAAGTTCCTTCAGTTACTTTTTAAAATTTTCCAAACGTACCTGATCGACGCCGTCTTTGAAGTCGCCGAAGACCCTGGTGGCGTCCCCGTATGATTCATCGGAGGCGAAAGCGGCCGCCACTATTCCACTCAGTCCAGCCAGCAGACCCGGCATCCCGTGCAAGTTGTTCACACCACATGTGTCGTGCAGCCCAATCACTCGGTCTGAAACGAGCTCGAAATTTCAAAATATATTTTTTCATAATTTAAGATAAATATTAATTTCCTTTTATATATGGCGTTTTAAATGTAAAAAAATTTAAATATACTTGCGCACAGTCAAGAATTAAAAATAAAATATCCTTGTGTTAAAAGTTCCTTCTACCGAAACTTATCCAGTCTGTCTAAAAATAATCCATTTCTATTTCATTCACATATTTAAGTTGCGGTTCGAGGGAGGAAATCTAAAATGAATGTCGTAACAAAACGCTCAACGCAAAAAAAAATCCGACACTTATCTGAATCGAATTCAAAATGATTTTGAGATTTAAACAAGTTCAAGGTCATACGGTATCTAAAAATTACCACATAAAGCCAAAAAAAATACGACGTCAAATTCACCTAGGAATCCCTGGATGTAAGCGAACCCGACTGTACTGAGAGCGCCGGCTGCCAGCCCGATGAACATGGCCCCTGCGGGGTGGATCATCATGTTGCAACTAGTACCCACGGCCACACCACCTGCCAGAGTCGCATTCTGAACATGTGCAATCGTCACTTTTCCGTCTTTCTCAGTCATGGCAGAGATGGCAAACGTGATCACGCAGGAAGCGCACAAGGCGATGTAGGTGTTCACGACTGCTCTCACTCGTTCCTCGTCTGTAGCCAGTGCACTGTTGAAACTAGGCCAATAGATCCACAGGAAGATAGTTCCAATCATTGAGAACATGTCGGATTTGTAGTCGGAACCCTCGGTTGGTCGGTTTCGGTGGTTCATTTCGTTCATCACCCGAGACACAGCGAGGCCGAAGTAGGCTCCGAACACGTGAACAAACATAGACCCTCCCATGTCGGCTGCTTTGATGTAGTGCACTCCGATTGTCTCGTTGATTTTGAAGATGAGAACCTCGAACGTCGACATCAGAAGAAGTTCGAATGCCGACAGTTTTCCGAGGACAGCTCCGAACGAGATGAGCACAGCTGCGCAAGTGAAGTCCGACTCGAAAAGCGTGTCGACTCCGATGTAAATAGCCGAGAGAGAACCTCCGTCTATTTTAGCTACAACCATCTTCGCGATTCCTCCGACTATGATTGCGTACTGTATCACGAAAGCGGACAACAAGAAGTTGTAGCTCACAGCACTCAGTCCGTAGTTCTTCAAAAACATCATGAGGAAGCCGAAACCCACGAAGATCATGACGTGAACATCTTGGAACATCGGGTAAAGACCGTTCAGTTTTCGTCCCGCTGAGTCCTCAATCTGGGACTCCTCCTGCGGATCATCGGCAGCCGGCTCATCACCCGCCGGATTGATGTCGGCTGAAATGTCCGCTTCTTGCTTCTGGGTGTCCGGCTCCTGTTTTACCACTACTTTAGCTGAATTATCCGCTTCGTGTTGAACAATCTTAGGAGCTGCATCGTCATCGTAGCGCACAAGAGCGGCGAACGCAATTAGGAAGAGGATTTCAGAGACGATCAAAAAGACGGAAAACTTCCGTTTATGGGATGCCAAGTTAGACATTTCGGCAGAGTTTTGTTAAATCCGCAAAGTTTTCAAAAATTAAATTGAGAAAATAAGGTTATATTTTTTCTGAATTGCAACCTCTGTTTCAACCTTAAGGCTAATGAATGGTGTGAGGTGAGATATTTATCGAGGCGTTTTTGATTGCTCAGATCTGTTTGAGTTTTGTTTGATTGGCGAATGGCAAAAGGGAGATACGGTATGGAATTTGTTTAACTTTCGGATCTTTCCGTGGCCTATTTAAGAAATAAGCAAACTCGCCACTTTTCAGTCAAATACAATCGGACGATTTTAGTAAATGGCAGATCGAACTGGTTAAAAAATGAGCTCGAGACAAAAATGAGTAAAAGCTATAAGTCAAAGAGTTGTATAACTTATCGCAGCGATAAGTTATATGTAGTAACTTATATGTAGTAAACAAAATAAGCTCATATTTTTTTTACCATACATCGATGAAAAAGAATAATAGCCGATTCAGAAGCACGAAAACGTCCAACACATATCTACTCAAATTTTAAGTTCATTTAATCTAACTTTTTTCCGTTTTTCTTCAATTTAAAAAAAATTTAACAAATTATTTCATAAGTGACAGGCAACATGGCGCTTCAAAATACAATAACTAGTAACTGAGTTGTAATTAGCGGGTTCAACTATGCGAACAATCGGATAGTCGGTTAACAGGTAAGTGGAGACTATTAGGTTAGCCGGTTAACGAAAATGTCTCGGAATTTAATTGAGCTCTGTTGTTTCCCAGGTCGAGGTGCTAACTTCATGTTTTGACCATCTTGACTGAATATCGGTATGTTTCGACCGTGCTCGACCGAAACAAATATGCTTGACCGTGCTCGACCCAAGCATAATTTGTTTCGACCGTGCTCGACAAAATTCGGATACGTTTCGACTTTGAAACAACAAGACATTACGAGGGCAATCAGTGTATTTTGTGAATTGCAAGCGGATTCTTTTGTTCTTATCTTCTTCTTTTGTTTTCGATCGTCACGACAAAATTTTAACATTAAAAGAGTTGTCTCTGGAATCCAGGAGCAAACAGACACAAAATTGTGCGCCTATACTGTGCACAGTTTGGCCTCAGAATGGAATTCAAACTTTATAATCTATGCTTTTCGGGTATTCTTTTTTATCAGAATGAAATGATTTTATTTTTTAGAAGATTGAAATGAGTTATTCGCAATTTGAATGAGGTGTATTTGGGTTGACCAAACATGCTAAACATACAATTTTTATGAAGGAAAAAAATGCTAATCAAACGCTTATCATGCAATTCCATGGGTACAAAACATTGAATGAAAGGTCTATGATGAATGATTTTTCATATACGAAAAATGAATGAATATTTTTCCATGAATAAAAAAATGAGTTTTTTAAAATTTAGTTTCTCAAAGTTTTTGGTGGTGTTCGTGACAAAAACCTTGGTTACTCAAAAGTAAAGCCACCACAGGTTTGACCGTCTTGCAATTTTGATCCTTGGGAAACGGCCTGAATTCTCGTAGATTTGTCTTATACAATTCACATAATGAAAGTATCAAATTTTTTTATTTTTGGCAAAAATTTTCAAAGCTCATTTTTTCTTAGTTTTTTATTAATTTTGCCTTATAAAGCAAACACACAAATTCCAACCATTTTTGAAAAAATTATCCAGAGAAACGGGAAAAAACTCAACTTTTGTGTATACAGGACTACCTTATTCGCATAAAAATTTAAAATTTGCAACAATAAAAAATATTTTGCAATAGAAAAATTGGGGAAATTTTTTAACTAATTCGAAAAATTTTTCGCTGTGGAAATTTTATGATAAGCATTTTTTGACAAATTTTTTTTTGTTTATGAAGGTACACTGACTAATGTGCCAAAACGAGAAAAAAATCTTCGAAAATTCGATTACTCTATTTTAGCATAATGAATGAAATTGGCATGCTTCGTTTTTTTTCAAAGATTTAGTATATTGAATTGTATGGTTACCATTTTTGGTCTATGGAGGTCAACCCGGTAGAGATGAACTATTTTTTGGCTATGAACTATTTTTGCTTCCATATTCTGGAACACTGGCTTGCATTTTAAGTCGAATTTGTTTAAAAAAATTTGTTGAATCTTTTTGACTCCGAATTACAGCGGGACAATTGGTATTTTTCGGCCGTGCTCCAGGTATGTTTCGACTGTACTCGACCGTGCATGGCCGTGCTCAAGATATGTTTCGATCATGCTCGACGTTTGTTTCGAACTTGTGCTCGACCCAAGCCACTCTCTCGACTATTCTTTCTCGGTCGAGCACTGACACCGATATATGAAGTGAGCACCTCAAACTGGGTTATAACTCAACTCAAACATCGTTATTAAATTTTCAAACAATGGTTTCAGTTATAAATAACCGGTCTCTAAAATTTTTCGATTTCTGCAAAACTCGATTTTTGAATTAAATCAGATAAACAGTGGCGTACTGGAGGAATCGACAAAGGTCGGGGGGAGGGAGGTTGGCGGAGTGTAACTCAAGTTTGGTTGTCAAACGTTCCGAAAGGCTGATCAACACTAAAAACTTTTAATAGGCGCATTTGGCGAAATATAAATTAAGCTAAATGGCGTAGCTTTTAGTGAACATTTTGAACAATTATAAACATCGCTTATGAAAACAAAGTCTAATACCAAATTGGCATGAAAATCAGAAAAACTCAAAAACCAGACACAAAAAATATATTCAATTAAAGTAGCAGGAGCAGTATCAAATCAACACTTGAGCAACGCCAGGGGCGAGCCTAGGATTTTCTCGAAGGGGGGAGGGGTTTCATAAAACTATCGAAAATTTTGTCTACTTTTTTTTGTGGACCAAATTATTTTTCTGGGCACTTTTAAATCACTATAAGAACTATATTTTGACAAAATTTTATGCAAACAGCGTTTTTAGGCCTTTTTGGAAAATTTGAACCAAAAAAGTATTTTGGCGCGCGTACCCATTCAAAATTAGTGTATTTTGGCGCCACATGAGCCTTTAGGAAAACTTTAGGGTCAGTCATTCAATAATGAATATCTCAAAATAGTACAAAGGGGTGACCTTTTAGGTCGGCATGGGGGCGAATCACTAAAGGGAGAGAAGGCCACCGCCCCCCCCCCCTAAATCTGCCACTGGGCACCACAGCTTTGAACTATTTGTCTCGAAGTGCTAAAGACCTTAAATATTTGCGGGCTTTTTCTGATTTTGGTTGAAAATCTAACAATTAGATAAACATATAGCTGTGAATTGTCGCAAAACAAAGGATTTTAATCCTCTTCTTAAGTTATAGTTTTCCTGATTTCAACAGAAATTGAGCTCGCTTGCAAATATTTTTATGTTTTCAATAGTTTTTTATTTGCTTAATTTAGACACGCAATCGTGCTTTGAGTTTTTAGGTTGCTTAAAAAATTGCGTCAAATTAAGATGCAGGCGAGATGAACTAAAAAGACAGATATCAAAAAATAAGATAAGATAAGATTTTTATACAACATTTTTCTGCAGCTAAATTCACGAATAGCTATGTCAAGGCAACTTCAATGGAACTTCATTTATATTCCGCTTCTAGAACTTTATATACTTAAATACAGATTTTTCTTTTCATGCAAAACATTGATACGCCTCGCCCGTGTCGCCCGGCAGCTCCTACCTGTTCGAGCTACAAACGACCAGAGCGAGTGTGACTTCAGCAGGGCTGAGCAAATTCGGACAGCCAAGCGTGCCCTCCTTTCTGCGGCAAAAGTCAGCCAAATCGAACTGCCAGGATCACCTGCAGCCAATGGATTTATTAAATTTTGATTCTTTAAATTTCAGATTTGAATTTCAAATTACTTCTTGTTAGGAAATTACTGTTTTCACTAAAAACGGGCCCGAGCCGTTCCTGGGTTTGAAATTATTGTTCTCTAGCCGCGCTTCAAATTCAGGCCTAATTCCAACTCTGATACGGGCTAATTAGGCCATGGCAAACATGTTCTTTGAGCTCTTTTTTCTTCCCCCATCTGCAAATTTTTCTGAAAAATGTTTCTGTTCAAATTGTCCGATTGTTACAGAATTTTGCGTGTGGACTAAATCGGCTATTGCAAGCATATTTGGTCTTCATATTTAGCTTGAAAATTGATGCTCATGTTAGATGGGGGGAGGTGGGGAGCAAAAAGAGCCGCACTTGGTAGTTACGACCGAGCTCATCAGTGTTTAATATGTCTCACTTGAAAATCTCTTCGTACGTATGTGTGAGAGAAAGAGAGAGAGAGAGAGAGAGAGAGAAAGAGAGAAAAACACTTTATTGTTGCATCAATTTTTGCAGTTACAAAACTGCTTGTGGATGGAACAAGTGTACCTAATTCGTCCCTCCCCCTTCGAGAGGACGACGTTAGAGGCAACATATAAGCAAACACTAAAAAATTTTGTCAAAAAACATGGAACCTATAATGAAATTAGTGAGGCCACTGAAACTAACAATGCGCTTTACATGCTATAAACTCTTCCAACCAAAGCAGAAAATAAATCAACCCTCGCGTTACTAGAAGTGTATAAAGTTGTAAGCATTACGAGGCCAAAGTGTGCATTTTCTGCATTGTAAGCGGAATCCGCAACAGGCCAAAATCAGATTTGTCGCGGAATCCGCAACATTGCTACTTTTCTTTGATCTTCTATGCTGTTTTGGATTCCACAAACAAATATTTAAGTGATTATACCGTTCAAAATCGCTCAAAAAACAGGCGAATTTGCGGAATCCAGAACAGTTTGTGGAATCCACAAACAAATGATAAAACATTTGTATCGTTAAAATGAGCTGTTGCGGAACCCGCAACTGTAAGTGGAATCCTCAAATTGTATCACTAGAATAGAAATTTACTAGATTAGATCAGTGTTTGGGATTAATGGAATCCCAATTACTGACCAGTATTTGGGATTGGCGCAATCCCAAATACTGACCTAATTTGTCGATATGCTGTGTTTTCAATACACTCTCAAGTCACTTCAATACACTCTCTTGAAATTGTTCGGTGTTGTGTTTCCAAAATACTAAAAGATGACATCCACCGATTTAGGTAACCAATGTTTTAAGACTTGCTCGTGAATTCCGCTGACAACGGTTAAGTCTTTGCTTTTGAATTCCGCATTGCTAGAGATAAGAATTCCAGCTCAGCTTTTAATTGTTCATATGCAAGTTCAGTATTAAACAAAATTCGGAATCCACTTACATTTGCGGATGCCACTTACATTTTGCGGAATCCACTGACAGTTGCGGAATCCAGAACAACTAGCTATATTTGCTTTTTGCGGAATCCGCAACAAACCAAATGTGCCGACAAAATTTACGTTACAGGTATATGTATGGGGAATCCACTGAAAATTTGTT